AGGCGGCCATGGCACACTTCAAAAAGGACGGTGAGCCAGACGGATATATGGACTGGACTGATTACTACCCGATCTTCGTCATTCGTGCGTTCCAGAAGCACATTGGCCCGCAGAAGAACCGGATCGAGATATATGCCAAACCAGTCCCCGACGGGGGCTATCCCAGCTGCTTCGATTGGAACAGCGTTATCGCTATCAGATGCGTTGGAGGTCACAGTTGCGTCAATCCACTCTCCAAACCGTGGAATATGGGCTGGGAGAGCTTACAATGGACAGACGTGAAGTACCTCCACCACGGCACGACACTTCGCGCCTGGCGAAGCATCCTCAAGTCAGGGATTATTCCAGGCTATATCGATCCGTCTTCTCAGAGAGACAAACACTTGCGAGGATCACCACGCGCGGAGGCATTCTTCAGTTCCAGCACCTACGTAGACAACGTCCAGAAGAATCCTCACACCTCGGTACAATCGTACAAGTTCAAGCACTACAAGAACGAGGTAGGACTGGTAATCAACATGGAGATTGCCACAAAGGCTGGATGCAGATTTTAGCTGGGAGCACAAGGTGCTATCATGACTGAGGACGTGGTTCCAGCCGCCGCAGTCATCGCCATTCGCCGTCTCACACCACGCAGTGAGCATGGCAGGCAGATATGGCCGGAGGGCACTACTTGGGTTTACCCGCCACTGGCTGCGAGACAACCATTGAGCAAATACGAGATTTGCGCTGTTCCTTCTGGGACAGACACAATCGATGACCCTCCAGGGATTGCCCCAACTGGCATGGCATATGACACGGCTCAGCAGCCAAAGACACAGTCCGCCTCAGCATCATCGGCCCAGCGGCCAATCGCCCCTCAGCTGGGGGCGACCCCCGCTGGCCACGCATCTGACGCCGACGCTTTGGATGAGACGATGGTCCGTGCTATGGTCAACAGTTGTGGGCACAACACACAGGATAAAGAATGGTTGATAGCTATATCACATTGCAGAGAGGCCCTGCGACCCATTGCATCAAATATTACGCAGAAAGATTGGGGTCGGCGGCCTATCTTCAATGATGTTCGCATGGGGGACTTCACTATCGTCAAAAATTGGGGCTCTACCAATTGCTACCACTATGACAATCACTTCCCCAAGGGCGACTACAACGCGAAGGTGCGCATGCACAAGGTCCATATTTGTGGACCAATTATTCATTTCGGAGTATTCGAGAAATTCTTTGCGGTGCAAATTCCTATCCTCAACTACGGTTTACGATGGGTAAACATATGGTATGCGACAAAAACATGCCCCTCAAGGGCGTTGTCTTCGCTTTGCCAGTACGTGCCGACATAGACCTGAGTCGCATGAATGTTGCACTTGAGGGCCCCTCTTCATGCAGCGACCAGATCTATAAACATAAAGAATCAGGTGATCTACCATATCTGGGAATGCCGAGCATTTACAAACCACGTATCCCACGTGCGCCGACCAGGCGCCCCGCTCCTCGGATTCCCGATCCCGACGAGCTGGCGGCAACACCTGCCGAGGATCCCACAGCAGACGACGATGGATCCCGACAAGAGGCAGGCCAATCCAAATATACTCTGGTAACTGTCATTGTGGATATATCGATCATAACACTCACAGATGAGGAGAAAGCAGCCAATGATACCATGAAGGCGGATTTATCGGCAGAGATTCACGCTGATGAGGACATCGGCTCGAGCATCCTTGATAATATTATCGACCCGCCAGAGGACTTCCTCAACCACCCCGACTACGAGCCAGAGGATGGTACAAGATGGATCTTGCAATCTTACGACCACCGCATATACCGCTGGACGTCGGAGATGTTGGTGGACTCACCAATGATAAAGGTAAAACAAATTTTTGAGGTACACGCTGGCAGGGCCAACATCGTGGTGGACAAGATAGAGTCATACTTACGATTCGAGATACAATTTGGACCAAAACCACACGTATACCAAATGGATTACAATCATACCCACAAATGGGCACGCGACTTACCGATTTGCAGTGCAGATTGTTTCTTCAAAAAGATGGTACACTACCTGGGTCCAGAAGTCATCGAGGAGTCGACCACAGGCATTTTTCATTGGATTTCCAACGTGTACCAAATCATACTGTTGGACAGCATCAAGGAACTACGTGATTTCACAAATGATGCTATCTATCAGAACCATCCTGCCCTCAACACGTTGCGTGAACTCTTCGCGAATTACATCCAGACACACGGCAATCCAGGCTATGGAGGGAGCCGGTGGAGACACCTGCCGCGCCTGATCAGGACGATCCAGGCGCCGAGCAGGATATCCCCAGGGGCCCAGGCAGCGTTGCTTCCGCAGCTCCAGACCAAGAAACCATGGTACAGATCATAGCCGATAAAAAGAAGATTGACCGCAAGGTGGGCGACAATGCGGCCATCTTGCAGGCAGGGGCTACCCGCATCCGGACGGACAACATGCACCATGGTGCTACTGAAACTGCGGACACCGACACCTCTGGGTACGCAGGACTACCGGGGGAAAGACTGTCCAGGATCGAGATCGAGGGGATCGGCCGATCGATCGCCTCGCGCCCGACCGCTGAGATCAATCGTGATGCCATGGGCCAGATCGGCCGTGTTCTCGCCAGCGGCCTTGACACCCGCTGGGAATCTCGCGAGCACCTTGCGATCTCTGGGGCCCCTGAAGAGATCCAGCATGATATTGCGCGATGTCGGAATTGCGATCGTCTTTTATCTCTCGGAATCGTCACAGGTGACGGTACAATTTGTGACATCTGCTGGCAGTGCGCTGTCGCTGTAGGTGCTACCGGCAAAGGTGGTGCCGCGGAGAGCGACCTAGCATACCTCCAGAAGTTGACCCACTGGATCAAGACGACCCTCTCCCAGGACGACATCACAAGGTATATGACAGATGGAGCGCATGTCCAGATGATGGGCAAGCGCTCCATACCTGGTCAGGAAAAGGATACCTTGAGGAGATTCGCGAAGAAAGCTGCGGAGAGGTATCAGAAGTGGGTCGACGCAGGCTCCCCTCCTGCACACATGTGCGGGCTGATGGGCGAGACTGAGGACGACAGACCTCTATGCCACCCTTTCGCCAATCTCGTTCAGCGTTTCCTGAGCGATGTGCGGTTCCACCACCAAATGACAGCCGCTCGCGCCAGCAAAGGCAAAAAGGCTTTCACCGTCGAAGACGTGCGTGATGCTTGTGATATTCGCGATCACAGCGTCAGGCAGGGCTTCGCTGGTCGGAGGAAATGGTGTTGAACACAGGTAGACTCGATAGAGGCACTAGGCAAGAGCGTGGACTTATCACAATTGCCCTTCCCCGCGGGGATGGCACTTGCGAGGAAGTCACGCAGCGAAAGCTTGCCATGCTAGCTTCCATCGATCCTGCCATGGGCTCTGCAAATCAAAGGGGGGTGAGTTCAGGGATTAGAACCGATCCGATCGATCCTGATACACACTCTTCACATTCGCATGGCGCCATGCAGCCGCGGCAGCCGCGGCGCCCGCCGCCGCCGCGCCCTGCTCCTGGCGACGCTGCTGGATCCAGCGCCTCTGGCGCGCAGGATGACGCGCCCGCTGGGCCGCGCGGTGCCGCCGCGCAGCGGCAGAGCAGCGATGCCAGCCGCAGACCAACGACGCCTCCCCGTGCCAAGAGGGCGCGCAGGACGGAGGACTACGCGATGTGGTGGCGCAAGAACCTAGAGGAGAGCCAGTGGGGCCCCAGATACTGGGGCCACTATGCCAAGTGCTGGATATACATCGCGGACAGCAACGATGAGTTCGTGTACGTCAGCGACCTGCAGCACAACGATAGGTTTCGCCACTGGACCCCGAGGACGCCCTGGGAGACCTTCGCGACGGGCTGCATCGCGGAGGACGGCCACAGGGTGTGGGACCAGAGGTTCTATGCGAGAGGCAACACGTAGTGTAGTCGGCCGCAAGGCCCGCCGCTCGAATGGCTTGAATTTCATCCTTATACAAGTTCGCCTCGAGCAGTGCATAACAATATAATCTTAGGCCACTTCACTGTTCAAGAAAAAGTGGCCATACTTACACTTGCGAAACCCAAAGCAGCCTCCTAAGGAGCAACGCCGAGGAGAATGCCCAATTGCAGGATCTGTTTATGCAGTTTTTCGTGCTTTGAAAACGCGACTTTACGCGTGGCCACGCACTTTTTCGCTTTGAGATTTAGACGCGTTGCTTAGCACGATCGTGTTCACCAACACGACTTCATAATACACATTCGTTTTGCTCATCCTTTAAGTTATGATTGCATTGCGTTGAGAATGATCCGATGCCCAGCTCTCGCTTGAGAGCTGGTGGCAACACCTGCCGCGCTCAGGCGCGGCAGCTTGTGATGTTGCTTTAATTTGTTCAGATCCTCTTGCTCCGCCCACCCGTGTCTCATTCTTCTCCGCCCACGAGTGCCGAAGCGTTTTTTGGGGGGCGCACCGAGGGGGCACCAAAGTGTGCTTGGCGAAGAAACAGGGACCCTGGGTGTTCCTTCTTACCTTGTCTTGCCTATTCGGGACAGCCTTGTGCTACGTTCGCTTTTGCACACCGCTGTCGCGATTGGGACGCAGCTGAAGCGATGCAGATTTCACGCTCAGCTGCCTAGCAGACCTGAGGATTTGAGGAGTAAAAGGGTGACGGGATCGTTTCTCCTGTTCCCAAGTCCTGCCCTCACGGGCGGGATTCGGGACGGGGTGTGTGAATAGAACCCGTATAATACCCTCATATATACTCCTTATCCTCATCTCTCCTGCGCCTGGCCGTTTGGGCTCAGGTATTGGACTAGATCGATCAGACCTTTGATCGTGCAGGAGGAAAAGATGTCCATATTCCCCTCCTTTCGTCTACCAACGGATCAGGGGTTCTGTACCTTTGTACTCTAACCCCATGCACAGTCGTGGGGGTGATGAGGTGGACGGAGAGGAGTGCGTCGCTCCGCCTCGCCCCAAAACACACCTTCCGAGGTGCTGCCAGCCCTGGCGGCGTCGTGCGGCGCGGGTCTCTTCGAGACGGCCCTGACTTACGCGGCACAGTCGCGGAATGCCCAGATCGCGTACAACAATCTGCCTGGCCAGACGCCACCCCGTCGACCCTGGCTGGAAAGGATCGGAGGAGAAGGACGTACCGAGACCGATGCCATTCTCTCGTGTTCGACTTTGTAGGCCTCCCAGAGCCCCCCCCGTCGTCACTGCTGCACTCGTCTCGGAATCCTTGGGAGAGGTCCAGGGAACAGCGGTGCCAGTATTTTTTTGTCCATTCGCCCCTGAGGCAGGAACATGCGTTGTGAGGGGGGCGTGCCCCTCAGGGGTGCAACGCTGTGTGTCCCCACTCGCCGCTCTGAAACGCTACATGTGCGATGCGTAAAAAGTGAACGGTCGCGCTCGCGCTTCCTTCGAGTGTGGGCGGTGGGGCCCCGCTTCACATTTGAAGCTATACCCCCCCTTGGGAGAGGACATGGTTTAGGAACGTTCGGGTGCAACTCCTGGGAGGTCAAACTCAGTATCGGCGCTGGTCTACCCGTTGTCAAAATCTGGCCAAATCCGGCATAGTCACGTTGAATGTTGCTTAGTCTCGCTGAGTCCCGTTTCACCCGGCCTAATCCAGCCTGGTTCGGCTCAGTGGATTTTTAGTCGGGCCTGATAGCCCTTATACATTTTGACGAACACCCTCCAGGAACTGCTTCCTGAGGAATGTCGGCGTCGGTATCCTGTTGTTCCCCCCTAGTCCGCCACCTCGCTCCCCTTCTCCGGCAGCCAGCACGAGGCGGAAAACCCCACACGGGACACGCGGTGGGCACGGCCGCGTCGCGCTGGCCGTGCTGGGCGTTCCAGACAGGGCCTCGCCTTCGAGGGATCGAGAGAAACAGACAACAACATACCAAAAAACACTCAACCCATTCATGCGATGCCTGTTTTTCCCAACCATCCTGTGGTGTTGGGTCCTCGTTTTGAAGAGACGGTGCCCCGCGTCTCCTTCCTCCTTCCTCCTCCTCCTCCCTCCTCCCCCTCTTCCCTGCGTTTCACCCACCCAGTACAGCGCTTCGTAGCCCCATAGGAGCTCCGCCGAAGGCCCCAGTGCTGCCGTCCGCATGCGTCCCGCACACCCATTTCGGCACACCCCTCACACGTTTCGTGGCCCCATAGGGAGCTCCACCGAAGGCCCCAGGCTGCCGTCCGCATGCGTCCCGCACACCCATTTCGGCACACCCCTCACACGTTTCGTGGCCCCACAGGGAGCTCCACCGAAGGCCCCAGTGCTGCCGTCCGCATGCGTCCCGCACACCCATTTCGGCACACCCCTCACACGTTTCGTGGCCCCATAGGGAGCTCCACCGAAGGCCCCATGGCTGCCGTCCGCATGCGTCCCGCACACCCATTTCGGCACACCCCTCACACGTTTCGTGGCCCCACAGGGAGCTCCACCGAAGGCCCCAGTGCTGCCGTCCGCATGCGTCCCGCACACCCATTTCGGCACACCCCTCACACGTTTCGTGGCCCCATAGGGAGCTCCACCGAAGGCCCCATGGCTGCCGTCCGCATGCGTCCCGCACACCCATTTCGGCACATAGGGAGCTCCACCGAAGGCCCCATGAGCTCCACCGAAGGCCCCGTCCGCATGCGTCCCGCACACCCATTTCGGCACACCCCTCACACGTTTCGTGGCCCCACAGGGAGCTCCACCGAAGGCCCCAGTGCTGCCGTCCGCATGCGTCCCGCACACCCATTTCGGCACACCCCTCACACGTTTCGTGGCCCCATAGGGAGCTCCACCGAAGGCCCCAGCCGTCCGCATGCGTCCCGCGACCCATTTCGGGTTTCCCCAGGGAGCTGTGCTGCCGTCCGCATGCGTCCCGCACACCCATTTCGGCACACCCCTCACACGTTTCGTGGCCCCATAGGGAGCTCCACCGAAGGCCCCAGGCTGCCGTCCGCATGCGTCCCGCACACCCATTTCGGCACACCCCTCACACGTTTCGTGGCCCCACAGGGAGCTCCACCGAAGGCCCCAGTGCTGCCGTCCGCATGCGTCCCGCACACCCATTTCGGCACACCCCTCACACGTTTCGTGGCCCCACAGGGAGCTCCACCGAAGGCCCCAGTGCTGCCGTCCGCATGCGTCCCGCACACCCATTTCGGCACACCCCTCACACGTTTCGTGGCCCCACAGGGAGCTCCACCGAAGGCCCCATGGCTGCCGTCCGCATGCGTCCCGCACACCCATTTCGGCACACCCCTCACACGTTTCGTGGCCCCACAGGGAGCTCCACCGAAGGCCCCAGGCTGCCGTCCGCATGCGTCCCGCACACCCATTTCGGCACACCCCTCACACGTTTCGTGGCCCCACAGGGAGCTCCACCGAAGGCCCCAGTGCTGCCGTCCGCATGCGTCCCGCACACCCATTTCGGCACACCCCTCACACGTTTCGTGGCCCCATAGGGAGCTCCACCGAAGGCCCCATGGCTGCCGTCCGCATGCGTCCCGCACACCCATTTCGGCACACCCCTCACACGTTTCGTGGCCCCACAGGGAGCTCCACCGAAGGCCCCAGTGCTGCCGTCCGCATGCGTCCCGCACACCCATTTCGGCACACCCCTCACACGTTTCGTGGCCCCATAGGGAGCTCCACCGAAGGCCCCATGGCTGCCGTCCGCATGCGTCCCGCACACCCATTTCGGCACACCCCTCACACGTTTCGTGGCCCCACAGGGAGCTCCACCGAAGGCCCCAGTGCTGCCGTCCGCATGCGTCCCGCACACCAGGTGTGTGGCGTGCCGACATGGGCGTCGCGGCGCGCGGGCGCTGCCGTCGGGGTTCCCAGGGAAGCCCCCTGCAGAGGCGACGCTCAGAGTCACGAGTACCGAGAGTCACGCAGACCCAAACTGTTCACAGTCGTATACATACATTTACACTGGGCGTATCCATGCACGCATTCATGCGAATAGAATCAATCGCGCGCAGATTCATTCATAATCAGACTCGCTCGCGATCCGACTCGCACGCGCTCAAGCTTTCATATTCGGACCTATCGTCTTCGTTCGTGTTGTGTACACTGCCACACATTTCGGCACACCCCTCATACGGCTCGTGGCCCCATAGGGAGCGCCACCGAAGAAGATATTCACAATTGCGGTACTCTCAACTGCATATGGTTGGGTCCTTCGCCAGGCTAATTTTCCTAACCCTCCTGCGTTGGGTCTTCGTGTTGAATAGAGCAATGTGGTCTCCACTCAACGTCCCTCCTCCTCCTCCTCCTGCCTCCTGCCTCCTACTTCCTGCCTCCTGCCTCCTGCCTCCTTCCTCCTGCCTCCTACTTCATTCTCTTCCTCCTCCCTTCTCTCCTTCGTCCTGCTCTCGCCGCCTGGCTACTTTCGTGCCGGGCTCTCCCTGTCGCCACTTTCGTGATCTCCTCGGAGGTCCAGTGGAGTCGGTAGTCACGCACACCACGTCAAACCTCGCGGCCCCCTGCGTGGGATCGAATTGCGCATCTGTCGCCACTTTCGTGGGCTCCGGGGAGGTTCAGCGGGGTGGAGTGGTACGCAGACCCAGTTGGGACCTCGCGGCTCCTTGTGTGGCCGCGAAGTGCGCAACGGCCGCCACTTCCGTGGGCTCCTGGGAGGTCCAGCGGAGTTGAGTGGTGCGGAGACCACGTCGGGACCTCGCGGCTTCCTGTGTGGCCGCGAAGTGCGCAACGGCCGCCACTTCCGTGGGCTCCTGGGAGGTCCAGCGGAGTTGAGTGGTGCGGAGACAACGTCGGGACCTCGCGGCTTCCTGTTTGGCCGCGACTTGCGCATCTGTCGCCTCTTTCGTGTGCTCTTGGGAGGTCGCGACGAAAAATGCAACTGCAGACGACAAGTACTCGCATCCCACATGGCAGGGGTTCCCATAGCGCGCGGCGCTGTCCCGTCACGCAGCGCTCGGCGCTGTCGTATCGCAGCTCGCAGGGAGCCGCTGCGCCACGCAGCGCGTGGCGGTGTTTTTTGTCCGCGTGGCCTCCCATCCTCAGGTGTCTCTGGCCCGCCATGCCACCCCGCGCGCTTGCCTCGCTCAGCGCGCCGCGCTGTTCTGTTATAGAGCGAGCGCATGGAGCTGTTCTTTCCCGAGTATGTAGCGCTCGGCGCACTTGCTGTTACTGAGCATGTACTTCCCTCAAGTACACCCCTCTGTTTGTTCAGTCTCAGTCATTGTCTGGCTTGTTCCCTCCCCCTCCCCCTTCTCCTGCTGCTCCTCCTCACACTTCCCCTCGAGGGAGTGTTTCTGTTGGTCTGTCTCCTGGGTGGCCCTCGCCGCCTTGGCTGGATTTCCCTCGAAGTCCAAGTCGGAACGCACCCCATGTGAGGTCTGGGGGGCCAGTTTTGATGGACGTGATGATGAGGATGATGATGCTGATCATGATGTTGATAATGATAATGATAATGATGATGATGATGATGATGATGATGATGATGATGATGATGATGATGATGATGATGATGATGATGATGCTGAGGATGATTATGATGGATGATGATGATGCTGCTGATGATGGTGTCGGTGGTAATGCTGATTGTGGTGCTGATGCTGTCTGCTGGATCTGCAGCTGATGAGGATGATGGATGATTGTTGGTGACGGTGACGAGGATGCTGAGGATGATGACGAGGATACTGAGGATGATGAGGTTGATGATGATGGTGGTGCTGGTGATTCTGACGGTCATGTTGATACTGCTGTTGCAGCTGCGGCTGATGAGGACGAATATGAGGATGATGATGAGGATGACGATGAGGTTGATGACGGTGATGATGATGTTGATAGTGATGACGAGGGCGACGATCACACTGATGCTGATGATGATGGCCATGATGCTGTTGATGCTGATAAGACCAGATCTGTGATAATAATGATGTTGCTGATGATGCTGCTGATGATCATCATGATGATGATGATGATGATGATGCTGATGCTGATGATGATGATGATGCTGATAGTGACGATGCTGCTGTTGGTGATGATAAGATGGATGATGGTGATGCTAATGATGATGATGATGACGAGGACGAGGAGGATGAGAATAATGAGGAGGATGAGGAGGGGGAGGAGCAGGAGGAGGAGGAACGGGAGGAGGCGAATGATGATGACGCTGCTGATGGTGACGACGTTTCTGATGCGGTGATGGTGATGGTGTTGTCAGGGATGCGTATGCTGACGATGGTGCTGATAAGGATGAGCATGATGAGGATGATGATGATGACGATGATACTGCTGCTTCGGATGCTGATGATGGTGACTATGACGATGCTGATGATGCTCGTGATGATGATGTTGCTGATGATGATTATGATGGTGATGCTGATGATGATGAGGATGGTGATGATCACGATGGTGACGACGCTGCTGATGATGTTGTGGAGGATGACGATGTGGATGAGGACGAGGACCTTTGACGATGAGTGTTATGATGATCATGACGCTGCTGATGATGCTGCTGCTGTTGATGATGATGGAGGTGGATGTGATGATGCGAATGCTGATGATTTTGTTGGTGATGATGGAATGAATGACGATGCTGATTATGCGGACGATGAAGATGACAGTGATGCTGCTCATGCTGCTGATGATGGTGGTGATGATGAGGATGATGATGATGCTGATGATGATGATGATGATGATGCTGACTATGCTGATGATTATGATGATGATGATGATGATGATGATGATCATGATGATGCTGATGTTGATAATGCTGCAACTGATGATGACGATGATGGTGATGATGCGGATTCGTATGGTGATGACGACGAGTATGATTATAAGGATGAAGATGCTGATGATGATGAGGATGATGATGATTTTGCTGACGAATGCTGGCGATAAACATGACGATGGTGACGAGGATGGTGATGGTGATGATTCTGATGATGACGATCCTGTTGACGACGATGACGATGGCGATGGAGATACGACGACGGCGACGATGATGATGGTGATGATGATGAGGAGGATGAGAATGACGATACTTGTCATGAGTATGATGAATATGATGGTGACAGATGCTCATGCTGATGATGATGATGATAATGATGATGATGCTGATGCTGATGATGATAATGATGATTATGTTGATTATCATCCTGAGGATGAGGATGAGTGTGATGACGATGATAATTATGGTGATGATGAGGCTGATGATGCTGATTATGATGATGATGCTGATGGTGATGGTGATAATGCTGCAAACGATGCTGCTGATGCTGATTCTGATGGTGATGCTGGTGGTGAGGAGAATGATAATTCAGTGTAAGTTTCAGAAGGTATGGCAAGGATCAGGATGAGGACGAGGGATAGCGGGGGCAGGAGCAGAGGCGGGATGATGATGATGATGATGATGATGCTGACGATGATGATGATGATGATGATGATGATGATGATGATGACCATGATGATGATGATGATGATGATGATGATGATGATGCTGACGATGGTGATGATGATGATGATGATGACGATGACGATGACGATGACGATGACGACGATGATGATGATGATGATGATGATGATGATGATGATGATGATGATGATGATGCTGATCATGATGATGATGATGATGATGATGATGATGATGATGATGATGAGGAGGAGGAGGAGGAGGAGGAGGAGGATAATAGGGAGGGAGAATCAGGGAGCAAGGAGCAGGAGCAGGAGGACGAGGAGCAGGAGGACGAGGAGCAGGAGCAGGAGGAGGGGGGAGCGAAAGAGGGAGGTGGGCGAGCCCCAGGGTGGGCGAGCGGACGCGTTTGTGAGCTTCTCCTCGACCGCCCCGATGCAGAGGAGGACGCCGCTAGCTCTGAACCCGGTCACCTCTCCCTCGGGCCCTCGGGGGGGGCCGTCTTTGGCATGCCGTATTCTTCCCAAGAAGCTGCTCTTCCCAACAACCTCCCAACAAATAATCTTTGGCAAGCTCGTCGGATTCGGAGTGTGCCTCCCGCTTCCCCGCCTCCCTCCCAGACCTCCCCGCTGTCGTGGAGGGCGCCGCGGCGGACGTGTCTGACCGTTTTCTCGGCCCCAAGACCATCAACAGGAGGAGGACGAGGAGGAAGATGAAGAGGAGGAGGAGGGGAACGAGCAGGAGGAGGAGGAGGTGTTCGATGAAGGCGTTCCGACTGGGTGAGCAGGTGCAGGCCAGTATTGAGAGGAGATGTATGGACGCTTTTGGTGGACGTACAGATGTTGGACGACCTTACAGAGTCTTCCTGGACCGCAGCACAACCGCAACGTGCTGGCTCAAGTAATATGTTCTCTTCTCGGGGAACAAACGTCCCTACCATAGATTTTCATGGTACCGGAGCCCGTAGTTCGCCCCACTGGGTCCAAAGCAGAGGTGGCCGCGGCGGCCGCTGCAGCGATCCTGGTGAACTCCGGCAACAACGACCCGGTTTACGATGGATCGTTGCTTATAAATACGTGGAGCTTGTACAGTCCAGGCAAAAGCCGGTTCGCATAATTATGCGATGCGCAGCGTTCAAAGCCAACCACGAAAGCATGACACTTTCCTTCGAGCGCAGTGCCACACAGGGCACCCATATTGTTGGCAATGAGTCAACCATCCAACTTGTTACAAATGAGTGACCGTGGATGATTCATTCACCGCAACATGCACTGCGAGTAGCACTTCAACAACCGGACATACTTGTAAGGACATCAATGCAGCATCAGGCGAACGCCTCGGAGCATGGCACCAAGATCGTCGAGGCAATAGTGTCGGCAGGAAACGCCAAGCAGGAGGAGGCGGAACCATCCCCGTGAGCGAACACGAGGATGTTCAGCTGTTGAGTTCGTTCCCCGGCGACAGGACCAAGGCGGACACGGGTCGATGTGTACCGGGCTTGACGTCAGCGGAAGTGGCGGCGCGAATGAAGTGGGCAAAGGCAGGAGCAAAGGTAAAGTGCACACGTGCTACGAGGGCGACGTTGGTGGGCACATTGCCAACTATTGCGGTATTGAAGGAACCAGCAAAGGAATCCCATTTTCAAAAACACATGGCGCCACAGGTTACCAAGGAACGCAGGTTGGAGGATACAGGAGGATAGCAAGGCACCAAAGGTTACCCAGGGGGGTACGTCAGAGGAGGTCACAAAGGGGACCTTCCAAGAGGTCACCAATTGAACCGAGCCCACGGATGAAAAGGAGGGGGTAGGGGAGGGTTTGGGCTGATCAGCGAGAGGGAGTGTCACAAATGCGGCGAAAAAGGGTCACAGCGCAGCCCGCTGCCGCAAAAACACCAACGAGGTCACCCCAACTCACGGGGGGGCAGGAGCTTCCAGAGAGGCCGCGCTGATGTCAAGACGAGCCCTGCTCGGACCAGGGTGCCGCAGTGTCGACATGGGCGAAGCTGCTGACACTGGCGGAGTTATCGGCAACATCATAGCAACAGCGCCGGCTACAGGGGCCCAAGAGTGGAGGATGCATTAGCAGATCACGAAGAGGAGGAAAAGAGAGGCAAGGTTAAGGTATCAAGAAGATATTCGCCCCACATGATGCAGCGTTGATCGCGACCACGGCGCCAGCCGGGACAACCGAGTTCCGAGTTCTGGCAAGCAGGAGGAAAGTTGTCTGTAAACGTGCGCAGAGCTGCAGCTAGTGGAAGTGGCATGGCCCAACAAGGAAGTTAATGAAGTACTTGCGAAGAACCAGGAGAGCTGCGTGGAGTCGATCGTGGTTACCGTGGACTCGGGAGCCTACAACGCGGCTAGGCCTTCAAATGCGGGAGCCAATTTCCCGTCGAGCCCGCCGAGACTTCCATGAGCGGCGCGCGCTACAGAGCAGCCATTGGATCGATCATCGGGCATCATGGACACCGGGCTGTTGTAGGAAACGACGAAGAGGGCCCATGGCAATTGACTTCGTCCAGTTGGCGGGTCTACTCGTGACATGGTTGGGGCGGGGGATCGCGCAGTGTTAGATCGAGATAGCGATGGGCGGTCTCGCGGATGCCTCGAGCGCGGGGCAGCTGGGCGAAGGGCCACCGTGTGCGAGAAGGGCGGCAGCTTCCAGTCCACCATCCAGGCCCCGGCAGACACTGCGAGACGGAAGGGGGCGATAAGTGATGAAATAGTTGAAGGTTTGGTCGGGCAGGGGGCCCTCGTGGCGGACCAGTTCTATTTGGTCCAGTCGAAGACCCGTCATAATGATTTTCTGAGGGTGGCCAGAAAAACGAGGGCGGGTGCAGCGGGGCCGAGCGCCTTCATGGGCGCGTTCGCGGGGGTGGTGGGGGGGGGGGGGATGTGCGAGATCATCGCGTGCGGTTTTTAAACCGAACGCAGAACAGGTCGAGTTGCGCAACGAGACTCGCCAACCCCGTCGAAGATCCCCCCCCCCCCCCCCCTCCCGCGTCAAATGGGTTGCGAGGGGGGGGGGGGGGGGGGGGGGCGCGCGAGCGAAGGATGGAATCGCGGAGGCAGGGTGCACCAATGATCTCAGTCGGGCACACGCGGTTAAGCGGCGCAGAAGGAGACGGCGAACAGGAACGACAAGCGCGCCCCGCTGTAGTCATGCGTTGCCGGGGTGCCGAGTTCACCCGGGGCCGCGCGCTGCTCGGCGGGGGGGGGGGGGCGGGTGTCCGATCAGAGTGGTTCGCGACGTGGTCTTGTTCGCTGGACATAAGATGGCAATCCTCAGCGGCGTTGGGGAGTCGCTCATTTCGGCATGCAGAGAGGCGGTCGAAGCGCCATGCGACCTCCACCCAAGGGTGGAAGGTGGCCTTGTCGGAGATTCCCCAGCAAGCGGCGACGTCGAAGGAGCGATGATCACCGCCGGGGCGGGTCCGAACGTTCAAGGGCGTCATGGGCGACAGGCTTACGGTAGGATTCGGAGAAAAGCGCCCGCCTATTCCATGGTTAGTTGCTCGCGCATCGCCCCGCATCAACGCGCTCGCCATTGAGACTGGCGGGGGTTGGGGGGGGCGGCCCATGACAGGTGCCGAGGGCCCGAATTGAACAGGGCGTTGTCCGAGTTTGGAGAATGCACCATGTCCATGAAGATTCCCCGTAAACATGCATGCAGTGACCTCGAGGCAAGATGGGGAAGTGAAATATCAGTGGGAGTGCACGGAGTAAGTCAGGAGGTAATCATCGGCACTCGTGACGGGGCCGTTCAATCCCATGACTTCAGAGATGCAGGGGGCGAGGGTGGGGTCTGGTTGAGGCGGGGTCTGGCAACGTGAGAGGGCTGCCTCGGCACCTGGGCCCCGTCGAACTTGCGCTGGGTGTTACAGCCAGTGCTATATTGCACGTGGCAGCGCCTGGCCAGGGCTCGGCGGTTGACATAGGGCCGCTGGTGGCGGGGGGAATTGCCGTGCAGAAGTCAGCGCGCGTGGCCATGGGGCTACGCCAGGGTGCCATGGTTGCAAAGCTATAGCTCGCGGAGGCGCCGCGCGTGAACCACGTTGCCCAGGATGCCGCGGAAGGGATATCGACTGGCATAAAGAACCATGCGATCTGAACGTCCAGGGGGCACGGCGGCTTCTCAGGTGAGAATGGAGCCCGGGAGCGGCTGGCAGGGCATGTCTCGCAGGGATTTAGTGGCTGGGCAATTCGTACGCGGGTGAGCATTTCAGCGACGCGGCGAACCCATAATCAAGATGCGCGCGCCTAACGACATCGGAGTGGGGGCTCCCGATCGCGTGGGCAACGGGCGACAAGCGCATGTGATCTATCAGGGGCTTGGCGAAATGGAGGTCTCGGCCGTCGGCTGGAAAGCTATGGTGAGAGGGGGTGGCGAGGACCTTGGACGGGATGGGCTGAGTTCCGCGCGATCTCTGATGGCGACGACGACGCGCAGCTGGCCGACTTTATTCCGCCGAGGTCAGCGGCCGCGAAGAGAGAGGCGTCGGAACCCAGAGATGGCGAGAGGGCCGGAGAAGTCAAATCATAATTCTAATAGTAGTCGTAGTCGTAGTCGTAGTCGTAGTCGCAGTAGTAGCAGTAGTAGTAGTAGTAGTAGTAGTAGTAGTAGTAGTAGTCGTAGTAGTAGTAGTAGTAGTAGTAGTAGTAGTAGTAGTAGTAGTAGTAGCAATAGTAGTAGTTGTTGCAGTAGTCGCAGTAGTCGTAGTAGTCGTAGTAGTCGTTGTCGTAGTAGTTGTAGTCGTCGTAGTAGTAGTAGTAGTAGTAGTAGTAGTAGTAGTAGTAGTAGTAGTAGTAGTAGTAGTAGTAGTAGTAGTAGTAGTAGTAGTAGTCGTAGTCGTAGTAGTCTAGTAGTAGTAGTAGTAGTAGTAGTAGTAGTAGTAGTAGTAGTAGTAGTAGTAGTAGTAGTAGTAGTAGTAGTAGTAGTAGTAGTAGTAGTAGTAGTAGTAGTAGTAGTAGTAGTAGTAGTAGTAGTAGTAGTAGTAGTAGTAGTAGTAGTAGTAGTAGTAGTAGTAGTAGTAGTAGTAGTAGTAGTATAGTAGTAGTAGTAGTAGTAGTAGTAGTAGTAGTAGTAGTAGTAGTAGTAGTAGTAGTAGTAGTAGTAGTAGTAGTAGTAGTAGTAGTAGTAGTAGTAGTAGTAGTAGTAGTAGTAGTAGTAGTAGTAGTAGTAGTAGTAGTAGTAGTAGTAGTAGTAGGTAGTAGTAGTAGTAGTAGTAGTAGTAGTAGTAGTAGTAGTAGTAGTAGTAGTAGTAGTAGTAGTAGTAGTAGTAGTAGTAGTAGTAGTAGTAGTAGTAGTAGTAGTAGTAGTAGTAGTAGTAGTAGTAGTAGTAGTAGTAGTAGTAGTAGTAGTAGTAGTAGTAGTAGTAGTAGTAGTAGTAGTAGTAGTAGTAGTAGTAGTAGTAGTAGTAGTAGTAGTAGTAGTAGTAGTAGTAGTAGTAGTAGTAGTAGTAGTAGT